AAATTCCCTATCTTCATGTTACTGGACTTCTCAGCCACAGCTGGCTCCTTCCTGAGACACTTCTCAATTTTTCCTTCCAGCTTCTTGGCTGTTTGTCTCCCCCAGGGATCTGTTCTGTTCCCTCCCCTCTTCTCTTTCTATGATCTTTTACTAAACAAGTTCATGCTGTTCCATGACTTCAAATGTCCTTTTAATGCTGATGACTTTCAAATGTTTGTCTCCAGCTGGAGTATTGTCCCTGAACTCCAGACTCATATCCAAATATCTCTTAACTTCTTCACTGAGATGTTTTAAAAATATCATAAGCTTACATGACCAAAACTTCCCTCCCCAAATCTTTTCCTATGTCATTAAAGGGTATCCCAGGCCCAAATCCTGGTGTCATCTGGATTCCTTCCTTTCCTTTGTTGGCTGCATCCAGGTCTCTGTAAGTCCTGTTGGCTCTACCAACAAAATATATCCTAACTCCATCGGCTTCTCATCACCTCCCTGATACATCTTGCATCCCAACCACCATCTTCTCTCACGAAGAGAGGGGAACTGCTCCTCCTATACTCAAATGTCCACACCACAGACTGAGTAATCTTTCTAAATGCATACATCACATCATGCCACTCCCCCCACCCCACCCCACATGTTATCCCATTACTCTTAAAATAAAATCTGAATTCTTTGTTGTGGCTGCAAGGCTCTGTTTGATCCGGACACATCTTCCTTCATGACCTCAACTCCTACTCAACTCCTCTGTGCTCTGACCACATTGGCCTGCTGTTCTTGGATCATCACAGTCTCTCCTAACAACCTTTGTAGTTTTTTGGGGGTTTTTTTGTTGTTGTTGTTTTGTTTTGTTTTGTTATGTTTTAAATAGGCTCCCTGCCCAGTGTGGAGCCCAATGCAGGGCTTGAACTCATGACCCTGAGATCAAGACCTGAGCTTAGATCAAGAGTCAGACACTTAACCGACTGAGCCACCCAGGCACCCCTGTAGGTCTTTCTACTTGGAACACTCTTCCCCCAAGTATTCATGTGGCTTCTCCCTCGGTAGATTGTCTATCTCTCTGTGTTGGAATATAAATTCCTTGAGGGTGAAGCTCCTGCTGATTTTGCTCACTGTTGTATCTCCAGCATCTTGAACGATCCATGGAATATAGTAAGTGTTTAATCAGTACTTAACAGCCTGACTCTCTCTTCTAAAATCTTCCTTGCTTCCTTACTGCTTTCAGGGTGGGCATTCTGCCTTAGCTGGGCAATTCAAGGGCCACAACAATTAAGCCACCCTAACCCTCAAATTTTTTTTACTTCTACTATTCAAAGCCAACTCTCTTCCAGGGTGAGAATGCTTTTTGGATGATATCTTTGCTCAGTCTGTTTCCTCTGCCTGTAGTGCCCTCACTGTATCACTCCTTCTGTTTAAACTTCTAGCAAACCCCAGCTTGAGAACCACCAGGGCTTGGTGGACTCTCCTAGAACACACCTGCCCACAGCAATTTCTCCCTATTCCAAACTCCAACTGCTCTTATATGTGCTCCTCTTACAAAGCACTTTACTGAACTATTGGCATCTTTTAATCGTTGTCCTGTGTCTCCAGTTAAATAGATAAACCCAAAACAGAGAATTGGTTGTAAAATGTTTTGAATCCTTCATAGAGTGACTCATAGATTGTAGGAAGGCATTCAATGTTTGTACATAGATATAATTCTTGTTCTAATGCTGCAATTGGGATAGTCTAATAGCAGCCAGATTCCAGATGCTGTGCAAAATGTTTTAATATCTGGCTCATCTTTCCTGAGGACACTTGACAGATATGATTTCATGATTAAGCCTTTTCTTAATCCTACAGTGGCCTCCAGTCTGTATTTCTGCATTATTACCCTCAAAGGTTTATTTTTCTAATCATTTTTCTTACTCCAATTATGTTCTATTTTTTAAAATTCAGAATCTGAAATTTTAACAAAATTATAACTAAAGAAGGTAAATGCAATAATAAAATGCCGCATATAAAGTGCCTAACATTAGACTTGGTATGCATTGGGAGATCAATAATGACAGCTATAAATTATAGGTTCTTTTCAGATGAATTCTACTTACATCGCATGGTGTTGTGCATGATTGTAATTTATAATAATTAAAAACTTTATCGACAATGTGTGTGCTTCTACGTACAGGGAAGCTTCTGTGCTCTCAGTTCTATGGGGGGAAACAAGAGAAGGCAAGGTCCTCACCATCCCTCTCTGAGCTGCCATCTACGTGGAGTCAAGTCTGATGGCGATGAAACAGGGGTGATAAGGGGACGCACATTACCAAGGGTCAAACTGAGTCCTAATAACCACAACGCTTCAATATTTTATGGAGTTGATGTCCATTATTTTATTTGCCTCTCCTATCCCTGCAAAGTAAGTGCTATTATCCTTACTCCACAGATAAAGGAACTTAAAGCTCCAAGAGGTGAATTCCCCCTTCCTACGTAACAGAGCTTGGGTTGAAATTCATTATTTTGGATTCAGTCCAGTGCTCTTTGCAATACAGTTTTCACATTTTCCCTTACTCATTCTTTCACTTGTTTTGTCATACATTCAGCAACTATTTGTTTGGTAGCAACCATATATCATGCACTGTGCTAGGTGCTTGGGATAAAAGGCAATAAGATACTGCCCTTGTCTAGAACATAGACAATAGACAGAAACAGTATGTATTAAAGAAATTCACAAAAGAAATTCCTAAGGGCTGGTTCAAGAAATACTGTCGCCATGAACCAGCTCCCTATTCAATTCTCATCCCCCGCTACATGGAAGGCTGGATTTTTTGTTCATTATCCCTATTTTTCTCTATATACTTAGAGAGCAATAGTATCTCTTGTTGCTTTTTTCAAACCCAGGGACACTGAGATGAGGAAAGATTGGATGGCTTACAAACTATCACGCACATCAGCATGCAAAGCTTGTGATGGTAGGAGTGCTCCTCTCCTCATCCCAAGTATAGTCTGTGGACGTCCTTTACTCAGCACCACTGATGTGTTCCGGGTATATTGAGCTGACTGATATTTTGCAAACAGAAGCTTATATAAATACAGTAGGAGAGCCTGCTATTTAAAGGAATCTTCAGATGAATCTTTTAAATTATTATTGTCTTTCTTACCATCGGGTCCCAACCATGTTTCTTTAAAAAAAAAAAAAAATCCCTCCTTTTTCTCTATTTCCTTGCTTCTTGTTACTTCTCAAACACTTTGAATTCTGATTCAGCCTTTTTGAAACCATCCTTGTTACGGGCATTAGCTGAAAAATCCATTGGACTTCCAGTCTTTACCTTACTTGAAGTTCCTTCCACATCTCACACTCCTGTTTTATTGAAATTCTGGGATGTCACATTATCTTGTTGATGGAATCTCAACTCAACGTCTTTAGGCTTGATAGATTCATCTCTCCATCTCTTCACTAGACATTTCAACCTAAACTCATTCACTCATTTATTCATTCAATTATTCAATAAATATTTACTGGGTGCCTACTAGGTGACAGGCAAAGGACTATACTTTGAGACAAACATGATGAACAAGGCATTTACTGTCTGAAGGTGGGGAGCAAGAAATAGATATTCGCAGGCAACTCAGTGGGTCTAAAAATGAACTCATGATTTTTCTTTGCAAATGTCCCCTTTATTCTGAGTGCTCTATACCATTTAAAGCTCCTACAGTGACTCCAAAGCACTCAAGTCAGAACTTAGAAGTTCTTCTCTGCTTCCCTTTTGCTCAGCCACGGATTCTTGGCTGAGTCCCTTCAAGCCTATGTCACAAGCTTCTCTTAATCTCTTCCTTCCTCTCCACTCCGCCTGGTCCTGCCCTAGCTCGGACCCTCACCATCTCTTGCCTCGTTTACCATGTAATGTCCAAAATGTCCTCTTCACCTCCGGCCTGAGCCCAGCCATACTTTTCTTACTGTGAGAGAAACCGTTCTAAATCCAGATTTCAATCAGACATTTCTCTGCTAAAAATCTCTTTAAGAGTTCCCCCTCCTTTCAGGAAAAGTCCAAACACCTTCTTGTATACATTAGAGGTCCTTCTGGCTGGGCTCCTGCCCACTTTCCAGCCTCACTTCCCGCTGTGCCTCCCCAGTCATTCCCACTGCCCCCCCCACACATCCTACCCTCCCGTGACGAATAACAGAATTTCTCAGATGCTGCGTGAAAATGAAGTGCAAATATTCCGTCCTTTGGGAAGCCATTTCCAACATCCTTCCCTAGGCAGGGTTTATCCATTACCTTCTCCTTTAGCCACCACTGCACATTATACACCATAATTAGTATGGCGACTGATTATTGAGCATTTACCAATTCTGACTTCATGCTAGACACAGAGGCAATAAGGATGCTGTGTTTAAGGACATGAGCTTTGCAGATTGCAAGACTGGTTCAAGTCCCAAGCTGTCATTTGTTTAGCAAAGTGATCTAGGGCAAGTTGCTGACACTCCACTTCTTCATCTGTGATATGGGGATAATAAAAACCCTTTCATTGAGTGTTGTAAGGATTAATGAGACTATGGACAAAAAATGCTTAGCCTAGTATCTGTTACATGATAAGCTATTATTAAGTTGAAATCATAATTATTGTTACTGGACTTCTGATATATATCATGGAGAATCTGCCCCCAGCCCTAAGGTTTTATCTCCATTTCACAACTAAGGTTAGATTGCTTTTCGAAAATCATATAATTAAAAAGCAGTAAAAGTTCAGAGTTTAAGTCCACACCACAAAACACCATTCTAGCCCTTATGACCTTGTGTGAGATGTATTTACTGTGTACCGGCTTCGGCACCTGGATCGGAAGCTCCCTAAGGGCAGACCTTGTCATATTGGTATGTCACATAGGAGAAGTTTAAGAATGAATGAACAAATGAATGTTTCAGCCAAGGTAGACCGGTGGCTGTGAGATCTCGGTCCTGGGAGAGGGGAGGAGTGGCTGGTATGGTCACGGTGGCAAGGGAACTAGAGGCTCCGGGATCACTCACTCATCGCTTCTATCTGCACATGGATGAGGTTCTCGATGTCCTCCTGCAGGGTCTGATGGGGCTTCAGGGGGATGGGCAGGTAGCCATAGTGCTCTCGGTTGCAGAGGTACATCTGGATGCCTGAGGACCCAAGAGAGCAACAAAAGCAACCAATCAGAAAACATAGTTCTTAGTTCCCTATAGACAACTAAGGGAAAAAAAAAAAATGCTTGGACCGTGGCTGAAGCTGAGTTTGGCACTGAAACTGAACAGTAGTTGTTTCAGACGCTGTCTGTAGACCTCAAAAATGCTCTTTATTAAGAAAATTTAACACAGCGTTGGGGGCTAATAAAAACCGTGGGCCATTCTTCAGCTCAGAGGAAATTGATTTTTTTTCTTTCCAAAGAAAAAGCATACTCGTGGTCTGAAATGAACACTAAAGGCTTGAAGGAATCAAAAGGAGGCAAGGAATTCCCATTCCAGAGAACAGAATGGAACACTGTAATCCGCCTACAGGAAATAACAAGAAAATGAGGAATAAAATGCACATTTGATATGAAAGCAAACAGGAAAATCCTGTGAGGCTGACAGATTATTAAAGCTAAATCTAGGCATAGGGAGAACAAAAAACAAAGGAAATTTAGAATTCTCCATCGCTCTCCATGGTTTTATTTCTTCTCTTAGCAGGCATGAATTTGGAGTCAACCAACAGACGTGAAACTTGTATAACAGATTCATAAAGGGACAAAAGAGTCTGCATTTCCAGTCCTGGTAAGAACCTTCAGTGTGACAATACCAGAAAAATGCCCCGCCCTCTTGTATTCAACACTGGGTTTCCAGGCCCCAGATGGCTAACTCCAAGAGTTGTACAGCATCTCTGTTTAACCAGACAGCTAGGAGTATAGGAATCAGATGGTCTCATAGAGATCCAACAATTGACAGTCCCACCTAAAGAAAAGATTAATGAAATTAATGGGATTAATTTATAGGATTAATGAATTAATCCTAATGAAAAGGATGAGTCTGCCAAGCACTGGTCCATGCTTCTGACTGGTTAATTGCTGTACTCATCTATGCTTTCCAGAGACAGAATTACCTGCATAGTGACTTCTCTATGTTGTGCAGATGAAATTTCCTCCAGTCAGCTCTATCACCTGCCAAATCAGGTGAAGCTGTCTCACGGCATTAACAGAGAAGAGCGGGGGAAAGAAAAGGGCCTTTATCCTCCTTTTTACTGAATCTGGCTCAAACCAGGGCTGGTCCAGCATGCGCTGTCCCTTCTCTTGCTTGATCAAGTGAACTCACTAACTCTGCTGTTTGCCTACACGATCCTTCAGCAGAACTTCGAACCAAAACATAGCCCCTTGCAAAGTCATGATGCGATCAAAAAATGGAAGGAAAGTGATTTCATGTTTCGGTTGCCTCTTGATCCTAATTAGGTAAATCATTTTACCATTCACCTTTCCAAAGCTTCAGTAAAAAGGGGAGATGAGACTTAGCCAAGGTGTCCATCAAATGTGGAGGGACAAGAAAGGCATTTTCACACATGCAAGGTCATAAGTATTTACTTACCATCGCACTTTCTCAAAAAGTGACTGGATGACGTGGGAGAAAGAGAAGGGGGAGGAGTAAGGGGAAGGAGAAGAGGAGGGGGCGGATCACAGAAAACAATGCCTACACCTGGCCCAATGGTCTAAATGGCTAATTGACAGGGGCGTCCATGTGGGCTGGAGGGAGGGAGGAGAAGGGCATCCCGGGTTGGGGTCAATTGGTGTGGCACCACTCAGATGCAAGTACATCGGAAGGCTCCAGGAGAGACAGCTTCACAAACGTGCAAAAAGAACATCTGAAAAATTGGACCATTCTAAGAGAGGTTTTAGACAATGAGGGCTTAGTTTGAGATTGTATTTGGAGTAATAAAACTAAGCAAAAAAAAGGGGGGGCATTTTTAAGTTGAATATGGAAGGCAAACTAACCATAGTCTATAAGTGGCTCAGCCTGGAATTAGGTTCGTATAACTCGAACAACAAAAGCACTGGCCATGATCTATCTTAAATCACCATGTAATTCTATCAAGAGGGCAGGGTATTGGGAAGACCGTGTTTGCACTGAGGGAGCAAAGGGAGGGGAGAGAGCCAACTCCTCATCTTCCGTAGTGGACACTCAATAGATAATGCCTCAAGCAAAACCAGAGAATCAAGAAGTAGCAACATGAGCATATTATTTAGAAACACGGATATAATATTACACGTCTACCATCATCTGTTAGAGTTAAAAGTGTCTGTCTTCTAGAAGAGGGAAATGAGGTACAAGGGGGTGATGTGTAGGGGACTTCTAATTTTATAATAAATCTTGGAGGACTCTTTGAACTCTTTCAACTACGTACATGGATAATTTGTTAAAAACATAAACATTTTAAAAGGAAATGTGTTGATCATTAGTTAAAATCTATAAAGGCAACTGGTACTCTCAGTGAAACCTACTTCTGGAGAAAACAATTTTCTTTCCCTTTGGAAAAGATTGGTAAATGAAACTATACCTTGAAGCTCTGTACTTGTGAAAATATCCGACATTTCCTTGTTCTCACACAGTACCTTAACAAGGCAAATTGATATGCTTATTTTTATCCTTGATGATGACAAATCAGATTCAGGAGGGCTATGACTTGTCCAAGGTCACACAGTAAGTCATTAGCATGAAACCTTTGTCCCTAAAGAGCCAAAGCCAAGTATTTTCTTATCTGCCCAGGGTTCCAAAGCCAAGTCTCAGAACCAGTAGTAACTCGGAGTTGCCATTCTCACACATGGGAGGCACTTTGATTACTACCAGTGCCATGTAGGAGGCAGATCTGCCTGCCCATCACCCACATTGCTTGCCTTTTTTGACTCAACAGCAGACATTCGGAAGATGACTGGCCGGCGCCAGAGATGGCTCCTGTGGATACAGAGCCCACTCCCCTGGCCACAATGGGAAGTGAACTCCTGACCTTGGCTTCATTATAGCCTCAGAGACTTGCCTACGACCCTGTGCTCTCCTCGGGGGCTAGCTCAGCAGCCACACCCCAGTGCGCCAGCACACTTGGATTGCCCCTCTCACTCATCAACCCTCATGTGGCAATGACTGGAGTCCGAGGTGAAAGGTTAAGGATCAAGGTCTGCGGTGAGACGGTCCTGCCGGGTACCTGCAGACCCTTAATTGCCTGTTGGACATTTAACAAATGATGCTTCAGTGGAGGAAACACAGCTAGGGAGATTCACAGAGTGAGAACAAGAGAACGCAAATCATCTTTCATCAAGAGAGAAGGGGAGTGCTTTGCTTTGGATCTCCAAATCTTCCATGGGCTGCACAGGACTCCCAGGCTCATTCTTGTCTCTCCTGGAAATACTTGAAGAGAAGTTCAAGTGCCACCTTGGAGCCACAGGGCTCTTAGAAAAGCTCTTTCATTTCCCCCAAATGACAGTGATTCTTTCCTGATTGCCCCCTGATGGGTGCATGGTTTATACCACCGGTGTGACCCTCAGCTTTCCCTGCTTCACAACTACTACTCACGTTTCCACATGCAAAGACCTTATCTCTCCAAGTAACACGGAACCTAACACGATGCCAGGCAGGAAGGCAAGGCCTAGAATATTGATTCCTTCTCCTTTCTTTTCTACCTCTTCTCTCCCCAGTTGAATCACCAAACAGCCTTGGGCCTATCCATCTGTTTGCAATGTCCTAGGAAAGCCTATGGGAGTCTGACCCATAAAAAATGAAGTCTGAGTGAACAGGCCAAGGAAAGGACAGAGCTGAAAAATTCCTATCCAGCCTGTGTCACTCTTCCAGCCCCAAATCCAGTTCTTGGTTTAAAAAAATATATTCTAATAATTGAGTGCCTGGGTCACAATAATACCTTATGCACCATCAGAGAGGACTCTGTTAGGCAAGGACCATTACCGTAATTGTGAATAGTTCACTTTCTTGGAACATCCTTACTGCAGGCTCGGAAGCAAAGGGACTGGCACAACCCAAAGGAATGACAAGGTCCCGAGTCTGCTTCTCATCCTGGAGAAGTCAGAGCAAATCACAGACTGAGTTAAAAGAAACTCCCAATCCAGATGAGCTTAGGAACCCTGCTTTTGCCCTGACACGGGGCTCAAGAATGCCTACACCTGGCCCAAGGGTCTAAATGGCTCTAGCAGCCAAGGAAAAATAATCAGCCTTCCACATTTCCACCAAATATTCTCATTCCTACCAAGTCTACAACTGATGAGTGGGACACCAATGGCTTTAAAGATGGCCTGCTGTGTGAGCTGTAGCTTGAGTTTGTATTAACATTCTCACCTGCCAGCAACTTGCCTCAGCTGCCTGGTCTCAGCCCCACTATGTATATGGCCACATGAGTTTATTCACCATCTGCCTGGTTTCTGAGCTCACTTTTGCTAGTGGTGAAATGACATGTTTCTGGCTCATGGATAATGGGACCTGACTTCTCTCAGGAAGGTCTGAATGATCTTGAGAATACAGCTTTGCTTTAGGAATGTCATGTATCTTCCTGCTGAGTTGCCATAGTGAATGAAAGCCTCCCTGATGGCATGTGCAAGGTGACACAAGAGAAATCACTTACCCTCCTACTGACTCGTCTTCCTCAAAAAGCCTACGGGCCCCACCGGAAACGCTTCCCAGTGGTTCTTGAAAGGCTCTGGCTCTGCCTTTCCTTCCATGGGGACTGTGGCAGAGACTGCTGGTTGCCTCCCTAGATCTGTCCCCTCCTCCTTTAGAGTAAGAGAACTGGGGCTCTAGACGGCAGAGAATAAAGAGCACATTTTGAGCCCTGCTTCCAGCTATGAGTTGACCTGTGACTAAATTCTGGCTAAGGGGATATGCATGGAAGTGACATGTTCAAGTCCTAAAATGAAGGAGTGCCCTTCCCTCTCCAGCATTTACTCATTGGCTAGAATGCATCCATACCGATGAGAAGTCTTGGGTCATCCAATTAGGGACAATACTCATGGAGGATGAAGAAGCAACAGAGAAGGAGCCAGGGGCTCTGAAAACTTTGGGGAACAGTGTCACTCTGCCAGCTCAGACTTTTTTAAGAAGAGATAAACTTCTATTTTTAAAGGCTGGGGTCTTTGCCAATGTTGTTTTGGGCTTCTGTCACAGTTTCCCATTAATAAAAAATTCCTGTAGTGAACAAAATGATGCAGCAGCACCACAGAGAAGCAATCACCTGCTCATGGCAGCTACCACCTGCACGGTCTCCCCAGCACTCAAAAAATGGAGAGTGGATTTCTGAGGAGGGGCCAGCCCTGGCTCTGGGTCATTGATGTTCACAGGGACAGCAACAGAGGGTCCTGAATTGCAAACAATTGTCTCTAATACTACCTGAAAGAAAAGGTTTATATAGGTCTGTTTTATACGAAGATGCACAAAACAGAGGACCTGGTTATTTGCAGTGTTTCCATGGTGACAGGACAACTGAACACAACCAGTACCTGCTTGCCTGCTGGAGAAGGCAAAGACGATGATGTCATCAAAGGTCCAGGTATAGTCCTGGTGCGGGGGATAGAACATCAGCTTGTCAGAGGCCTCCTTCCTGAGGTCAATTAGGAAGGTGGAGTGAACCATGGGAACGGGAAAGCAGCCCATCCGCTTCCATTCTCTGATCTGAAGGTAGTCTGGGGTGCGTTTATAGAAGCCCTGGAAAAGAGAAATAGGTGGGCTTTGTTCTCTGATCTGAGGCCTTCATCCTTCCCAGTCTTCGGCTAGGCTCCTTCCTTCTAAGCCACTGCCAGTTGAGGAGAAGTCCCCAAACAAAGTCACTTCCGCTATTCTTATCTTGGTCTAAGAATTTCCAGCAGAGCTCAAGAAATGCTATTTGCGTAGAAAATAACACTTAAAGGGTCTTGTTATCAGAAATAATTTTAGTATTAAGGAGGGCATGTATTGCATGGAGCACTGGGTATTATACGCAAACAATGAATCATGGAACACTACATCAAAAACTAATGGTGTACTGTATGGTGACTAACATAACATAATAAAATAAAATAAAATAAAATAAAATAAAATAAGAAATAATTTTGGTTTCAGCCTATCTCTGGATTTAATGATCTCATAAAAGTATATTTTATGTTGATGTGTGATTGAATGTGAAGAAAAGCATTAAGAGGTGGTTGAGCAGAGAAGTTAAAAGCACAGGTTCTGGTGTCTGGCTGCCCAAATTCAAATTCTATCTCAGCAACTAATTGTCTGGAAGTACCTGTCAGGTGACTCAACTTTGCTGTGCCTATTCCCTCATCTGTAAACCAGGAATGATGGCACGGTCTACTCCATGGGGTTGCCTAAAAAAATTAGTTAAGGTAAAATCTGAAAAATGCTTAGAATAGTGCCTAGCACTAAGAAAGTATAAAAATATATTGGCTAATACTAAAATTACTACATTATCTGGCTAATATTTTTAATGAAATCTGTAGTACTTAAACATACAAAGAGGGTCCTTCAGTGCAGTTACTTACTCAACACTCTGGTGAAGCTGCCCCCACTGCTCCACACTCTTTTGGAGATTCTCCTTTAGAAAGTTCTTTCTGGATGAGCACACAGGACAACCAACCTCCTTACTCTGTGGTTTTGAACACACTGGTTTGGAATAACCCAGCTTCCCCCCGCCCCCAAACTTAACTGTTCATTCAAAAGACATCTACTGAGTCCTTGCTATATCCCAGGCACTGTGTTTAGATGCTGGAGACTTAGCAGTAAATAAGCATCCCCAGCCTTAGCCCTCACGAAGTATGGAATCCACTGGAGCTTACACTCCAGGGGCACCAATTATAACCTGACTATTGCCAAAGCTCAAATCTGTTCCAGAAAAGAAGAAGATGCATGATGTATGTATGAAGATGTTAAACGTATGTGGAAGCTTTGAAATGCATTTCCAAAAATGTTCTAGGCGATAGCAGGCTCATGGAATGGGTGTGAACCAGCACCCTGAGGGGCAGAATACTCAGTGGACAGAGAACTAACTTCTCCCATGTTTATTGATCAGTCACCTTATTTTATGGTCACATTTTCTGTTGTGATGTCAGTGCCCACACATTAGGCACTGCAGCCTCTTCTATTTCTCCGACACTTCCTTCAGGGCCCAGGTAGGTGTTCTGGCTGAGCTCACCCTAACACTGGCCATGTAATAACGTAGAAGGATCACAAATTAAGAACTTAAAAGATGTGAGTGTTAGAGTCATCTTAACCTTCCTTTAACTGTTTGATCTCAGCCCATGCTTAACGGCTTTAAGCTGACTTTCTTCTCCTGAAAAATGGGATAACAGCTGATGGGTCTATCTCATGGGATTGTAGAATGGATCACAGGTGATAAGGTCTATGAAGATACTTTGACAACTGTAATTCATTATATGAGGTAGTATTATTGCTACGATGTTTTATTAGCCTTTAACTTAAGGATTGCTTAACATCCTTCAATTTATGAGCATTCTTCCAAGGGATAAAGGAAACACTGGTTCTTTGAAGGACTGCCTAAGAACGCATGTCAAATACAAAGTTCTAGACTACTTAGGAACAATATTCTCAGAATGAGAAGTTTGCAAAACTCATGATGATGAATCATTGAATATCCTGAGGGTGAGCAGAAGGGAGCTGAGAAAATGAGAGAGAAAGAGGGAGAGAGAGAGAGAGAATGAATATGCCTTCTGCAGACAGGCAGATGACAGATGGATCTTTTTTGACAAAAAAAAAAAAAATGAATGTTGTTGATAATAAATAATTCCTGTTCTTGGCCAGACAACACCAGGGTCATTTTGTTTTGAATGTGTTTAAAGTCTCTGGAAACCAGGGCCTGCTTTTAGTTTATGAAGTCATTGGCTGTTTCTGTTCCTACCCTAGCAGAAGCCTGGCTAAGAATGGTAGAAAGCCAAAAAAAAAGATAGAAAAAATTAGAATTGCCCCTAAGTTGCTCTCTATTTTACTGTGCAAAATAAGTGAGCACATTTCTCCTGTTTGCTTTTAAAGATTGAAGCAAATAAGGAGATAATAAAAACCTAGAGGCTGTAGTTACTAGGGTAATCCAGCCTTTTTCCTGGTGTCAACGCATAACTCATTAAAAACAGCCCTCAAGTGGATTCTATCATGTGAAACACTGCAGATTACTAACTGAGAGTGTATGAATTTAAATGAACTTAATAAAACGTTCTCTCCCCAAGGAACTGAATGTCTTTTATAAATATGAACTTAATGTCTCCTTAAAAGAGAGGTGGATAACATGCATTCAAGATCTCTCAGAACTGCAGGAAATAATTGTAACCAAAGAGGAATGGCTCATCCAGCAGTGTGCTAAAGCTACTGTTTGTTAAATTTTCAGAAATTTTGCAAGCCAGTTGACATTTTGGTAGCTTAAAATCTGTTAAAAAAATCATGTTAATTCCCACCATTCTAAAATACCACAGACGGTAGCTTTGTATATTTTTTGTCATTATATCACCAAGTGGCTACACTGCAATTACTCAACTTTCCCTCACTTCGACAGCATTTAAGTTGTTTACATGGCGAGAGTACCTACGCTATTAAAGCTGGCAAATGAGACCAATCAGGGCTTTTCCCCCCACGGAGAGCCAGTTATTAAACATTTATCAGCACACCACTGGACTCATTCTGCATCCAAAACAAAACCAAATATAAAAGAGGGACTCAAAATTTAGCCCTTTGAGCATGAGACATTTTTTCCCCTTAGCACAGCTTTATTCCATATTGATACTACACTGATCAGTTTATCTCTTTAATTTATCTAATTTATTAGCTAGAGAATTAAAAATACAATCAGCCAGAAGCATTTACTGTAACAGAGTTCTAGACTTCGAAGATTTTTACAACGGAAAAGAGATGATGGAAATTTAAAATTTTGTTTTTCACTTGAATTTTGTAAGAGCCAGCTACCATAGCAGCTCTGATTATTAGATGTCTTTGGAAATAAATTTAGCAACATATATCAAAGGTCATCAAAATATGTATACTCTTTGACTCAGTAATTCTACTTCTAAGAAGCTATCCTAAGGTCATAATATTAAACACAGAAAAATGTACATTAACCATCATGGGCATTATAATAGTTAAAAGTTGCAAGCAACTTGAATAATTTTAAACTAAGAAAAAGGTAAGTAATTTGCATTATAGCCACTTGATGATATAGTTACTAACAACATGCTATTATCCATGATGTTAGAGTCGTGGGGAGTCACATAATTTTTTTTTTTTTACTTTTTTCCATTTCCAAATTTTTCTATAGTGTTCTTATGTTTTAATACCAAAAAGTCCTTTTTAAAAAAAAATCTCAGAATCAGAGAGGAACAAAATACAAATATCAGTAAGCTTTATTGGTTAAGTTAAAGCTTCTAAGGCTAAGCTCACTAGAATATTTTCTTCATAATTCATTACTATAAAAGAACTCATTGGATTATGCATTAGATATGGATTTTTCTCCTTTCCTGAACATGCTTACTCCTGTAACACCATGACATGCACATTTCAAGGGAGGAAGTAAGGAAAAAGGTGAATGGGGCCATGGCTGACATAATGGCTGCCTTGTTAAAACCCATAGCCTTAATCCATCAGCCAGAAGACTTGCCTGAGGTGTGATTCCGCACCAGAAATTAGAGTACAGGCCCCGAGACTCCAGCATGGGTGCCACAATGGTTTTGTTTTCTGCAATCATTAGATTGAGGGTCTGTGGATTAGTCAGGAAGTTGTCGACATCTATGAACTAGGAAAACAAAAGATAATGTCGGGTGAAAAAGTACTTTTCTGTATTGGGTTCAAGACTAACCTAGCACTTTTGAAGGATCACAGAAACTTGCCCATGAGACATGGAACCAGTTATTTATGTTCTCCTCATTAGAACTTGTTGAAGCCAGATGGCATTCATTCGGGCAAAATACATTTAGACTCACTTCCACATGTCTAGCTCTGCATAAGGTGCCAAGCAATAAATCGATGTTACCATACTGGGTACACACTCAACCAGCACCCAACCCACACCTTGGTTAGTGGTTATTAACCACTAACAGCTCCCAAGAGCTCTTAAAGAGTCATCCAAAAACACTCATTGAGTGCCCAGCCTAGGTACAAACGAACAGACTTATTGAGGTTGTCCATAGTAATGCCAAAATGGCCCAAAACAGATCTATCAATGCCATTTTAATGTTACAAGTAGAATTTTTGTTGAACGTACATTATATCAACCCATGAAGCTTATCCCTCTTTTAGCAGAAGTCCATGTTAACACTGATTCAGGTATAGGGATAGTTTAACAATAGATTCTATTATATAAAATAAATAATCTCACTGAACTGTACACTTAAAAAATGAAAATGGTAGGTTTTATGTTATGTATATTTTACCACACACACACAAATAATCAGAAGCTTTCATTCTTATGATAGTCAATCTGTTTACCCAAAAATTTGGGACTCAGTATTTGTATGTTTCAATGACATTTAAACAGCTTTATAATGTTAAATATCATCAACTTGAAAACGTATATGAAATTATTTGTATTGGACAGGTGCATGAGATAAATTATTGGGTTGATTTTTGTCGTGGTTATGGGCTGGGGATGGTCATAGGTCAAAAGTATTCCTTTTAGGAATCAAGAGTTTAGTGACGGAGAGCAGATATTGACAAGTCTAATGAAACCATATTGTCTTTGCTTTATTGGTATTATTTCTAGGATTGTACTGGAAAATGCTCACCAAAAGAATTAAATGGATTTTGGGGGCTACAGATGGAGAACTTGATTCCCATAAATTTGCAAAGAAAAAAAGCCCCTGTCAACTTTCAGAAGGGAAATGCGGACTGTAGCAACTTGCTGCCTAGGAAGCTGTCCTCCTTTCCAATTAAGTTAGGTTCCTGGAGGACAAGGATAGAAGATAACACTGGTTCCTAGTCATTGAGTCCAGCATTTTTCTGGACCATTCTGAAAGTTCTAAGAAAAGTGATGGAACCTCTCCACAGAGAGAAATTCTCCATGAGAACCTAGCATAATTAGGAGCAATCAAGAAGCCAAGCAAGAGATGCCATTCCCCTGCCAGGGCTGCAAGGTCCCAACTGCTCCTTTAACTGGGCCATTTCTCAGGGTTGTTTGTGAAGCTGGTAACCTTGAAAGATGAGGTAACATATTTTCCAGAGAAAAAGCAGGTATGCTGACTGCTTGCTATAAAAGCAGTAAGTTCCCTGAGCTCTGGGTTCCTCAGCTGTGATACAAAACCACTGGATACAGAGCATCCATCTCAGCCCATGACATCACCTGTGTGAGAAGTGGGGGTCAGGGGAAGTGCCACAAGCATGCTGGTAGACATGCTATTTACTGTAAGCAATAATCCATTGTCTCTTAAAAAAAGAGGGATGACAGTCCCCCAAATCACTGAGGAACAAAAGGGAATGGAGTTTCAGAGCTGTTAATTTGAATCCTTTTTTATATAATTATTTTCTTATATCTGAAAAAAACTTCTAAAGAGTTATTAAGAACCTTCCCTAATAAATCTTTAAAAAAAGGGGGCGTGCACCTGGGTGGCTCAGTCAGCTAAGCCTCTGACTCTTGGTTTTGGCTCAGGTCATGATCTCATGGGTTGTGAGGCTGAGCCCCACACTGGGTTCCATGCTCAGTGGGGAGTCTGCTTGAAGATTCTCTCCCTTTGCCCCCCCTTTCTCTAAAATAAATGAATAAATCTTTAAAAAGACAAAAAAGAAACTTCCCGTGCATTCCCTATGAACTGAAAGGATTCAGAGTTTCTTATCCCTATTACATGAAAGAGATCAAATAATCCAGGAGTTTATTCACTTACTCACTGAAAATGCATGTCAAGAGTGGTTTGAGATGAAATCCAGGTACCCCAATATTAAGTTCCCCAAGTTTTCCCTTGTGTGTTTATTAAAAAGTGGAGGAGAGGCTCCTTGGTGGCTCAGTCATTAAGTCTCCAACTGTTTTTTTTTTTTTTTTTTTGAAGACTCCAACTCTTGATCTCAGCTCACATCTTGACAGGTCTTGATCTCAGCGTTGTGAGTTCAAGCCCCACGTAGAAAAAGTGGTGGGGGAGTTGGTTCTCAAACAAAAGGGTTTTTTAATAGCTCCCACAGTCTTAAGTTTTGGACAGTTGATTTGGACACATTCTAGATAACAGTTGTCAAGAAATCAAACATCTTTTTTTTACCAGAATATAGTCTGACCATTTTTCCCTCGCAGTTCGAAGGGCCGCCTGCCGTAGTTTCATCACATGGGCAAAACGGGAGCCTGGCCAATGCTTTGGTCCAATTTCATCAGGGTAAGATCTAAAATAATAATAATAGTAATAATAACAATAATAGCTTATAATTATTGAGTGCCTATATATTCCAGGCTCTGTCCTAAATGTTTATATGCACTAACTCATTTCAACTTCCAACAACCCTAGGGCGTGGGTACTATTATTGTTATCATCTTCCTCATATTACAGATAAGGAAGCAGAGATTAAGTAACGTGGCTTACAGTACACAAGAATCCTTAAATGAAATACTTCAGTGGCTTCTAAGAAGAACCTATGGAGTCCTTACAAGGTTAATATTCTCCATTTCACAGATGAGGAAATTGGTGCAGAGTGGTTAAGTCATTTGCCTAATGCTACACGTTAATAAGCGGCACAGTTAGAATTTAAATCCAGGCATAGCCCCAAAGCTCATGTTCCTAAGCAGTTTTTAATATATTCTGCCATCAGGGGCGCCTGGGTGGCTCAGTTGGTTAAGCGACTGCCCTCGGCTCAGGTCATGATCCTGGAGTCCCAGGATCAAGTCCTGCATCGGGCTCCCTGCTCAGCGGGGAGTCTGCTTCTCCCTCTGACCTTTCCCCCTCTCCTGCTCTCTCTCTCATTCTCTCTCTCAAATAAATAAATAAAATCTTTAAAAAAATATATTCTGCCATCAAATAAATTTAAAAATTTTGCAGCATAAAAATATGAGTTTCCCAGGAAAAAAACCAAAGGTTAAATTTACTTGATCAAGTATCAGTAAAGGATTCCACAGAGCCTAACACACTGATTTATCCCAGGTAGAGTGAGATCATGGAGCGGATGCATAATGTCATTGGAATCTCTATCAACATCTACGAAACAGCCAGGGCAGGACTCTCACATAGCAACATTAGCAAGTGGGTTGGCATACCCTCAAGAACCCTTCTGAAAGCTTCCAGCTGGTGTGGGTGTTGATACTGTCTCAGGAGCCATCATTTCAAGTTCTTCTAGCTGTGTTAACAGTACCTATATATACTTATATAATTATGCAAATATAATTACATAAATAAGATTAATAAAACTATGTCCTGAACAGGGGCTCTCTAAGATGTCTTTCCAATTATTGCTTCAGTGAAAATCAGTGGAGTCCTGTTTTTCTCAATATATTGCCCCCAAAATGCCTTCACTAATATTTTTCACACTGACCTTGGCATATAATATATTTAGTCAAGATCTGGGCACAGAGAAAATTACCAGGATGCAAGGTAGGTACATAATCTTTTTGGCTGTTCTAGTTAGGCCCAATTCCATTATAAGAGACTCCAAAAAAAGCATTCAAAATCTTTTATAGTGTTCAAATTTCATTGTTAAATTTTGCTTGATATATAGACCATATGCTGGGATTTGAAATATATATGTATATACATATATAATAAAACTATTATATATAAAGAGACTAAAAAAATCTGTTCTGGAATGGCACTTATTATTATTATTATACAAATTTGGCTTTCAACAAATGATCTATCCTGGGCAAAAATGCAGGCAACTCAATTTATTCTACTTCTACAATTTCTTAAGCTAGAATTGCAATAGCCTTGGGAACATTTACAATAGTCCATTTTAAATACACTTATTCATGTTGTCATTTGCTCATTTGTTCATGCAACAAGTATTAATTTAGTGCCTGCCAAGAACATAGCACTAGGGGAAAATATGAAGTATTTGTATACCGTAACCTCTGCCAAAGAACCCAAAAATCACTTCGAAGAAATGCATAAATTACACAGTTAATTAACAAAGTTAGTTACGTGTATTGCTATGTCAAAAAGGATGATGTAGGAAATAAGCAATACAAGTGTTGAGAGAAAGGTAGATCTTTGGAGCTTGAATGATTAGGAACAGCTTTCTGTAGTAGGCGGGGTTTGGCATATGAGCTGGTTACAAAGACAGAAAGGGCCTTCCTGGAGAACAAACTTGCATGGGTAACAGCTTGGGGTTGAAAGTAAAAGGTACGTCCTAGACAAAGCAGTTTTCTTTTGGGAAGAAGCAAGAGATATGGGTGCATAACTGCTGGTGTTAAGTTCATGGAATTTTTAAAAAGTGTTTAAGTCTGAATTATTTGAACTTTGTTCTGTGGGTACTGGAGAGTCACTGGAGTCCTTTTAACAGAGAAATTAAACCATGTCATTAGCATTTTAGGTAAGTTGATTTGACAGTATGGTACGTAGGATGATCTTGAACATGGAAGTAACTAAGAAATTGCTATGGTTAAGAGAAGAAGTAACCTAAATGCCCATCAGTAGGGAATTGACTACTCATTATCATTATGGTACATCCATATAATGGATACTATGCAGTCATAGAAATAATGAAGAAACCGCTTAATTACTGCTATGGAATGATGATAAAAATATGATAAGTAAAATAGCATAGTATATATAAAAAGTATGCAAACTTTTCACTATGTTCCACCAAATATGAAAGACTTATACTCAAAATATGAATAAATAATATCAATATTTTAAAATATATACTGTGGCAATTTATTTGTTATTTATTGACTTGGCTGGTGGCTGCAGGAGTAAAGAGGAAGAGAGGCAGTTACAAGGCAGGTTCTTGTAACTTACTAGATATAGAGATAACCAAGAAGTCATATGGGCCTCCAAGATTAGACACCTGAATGGCTAGAAAACTGGTTAAGGGAAGGGGGATAAATAAAGTTCACAAAATGTTGTCTTACTACTCACTCTGGTTCATCCATAGGCCTCCACTCGACATAGTGATAGAATCTCTGTACATTTTTCAACCACTCCCTGAGTATTTCTGTTGTATTATCCACATTGTGATCAGTGGCTGCCCTGCATGAGAGAAAGTACAATATAGCTCAGTTGCCATCCAAAGAAAGAGGGAGACATCCCAAAGACCCCAGATTAATTGAAAGGAGAATGGCCAGTTCTGAGAAGAAAAAAAAAATGTACAGATGAAAATGAATCCTTCATGGTCCAAACTAGACAACAGATTCCTGAAGTGAGAGATACTGCTTAAAATCATTTTTTGTGTCATTAGATCCTTAAAACAGGGCTCAGCCAATAGCAGAATCAATAAGTGGTTATACTAAAACTGTATAAGCAGAAAATGAATTAAGAGTAAGCTAACTAATCTTTTTTTGGAAATTTTTCTATTTGGCTTAATTTTTAGTTATCCAAGATGTAAACTCTGCCTTTTAACTTCCCTGACAACTACCATCAATTTAAGCAATAATTCAGTTGCATTTTCCTTTCAAGTTTCTTTTCAGATCACAACAAAATTGCTAATCAGTGGTACTGTCATCACACACACTCTAGGGAGAAAGCAACAGTTTCCAATATAAAACTCAAAAAGCTAAGTTATCTTTACCTATTTTGGATTAATGTTACCATTACTTATACAAACTAGAGTACCTTCAAAAGTCTTCAAATAATGTATACAAAACTGGTTTCTACCGTAAAAGTTTAACAGATTGATCTACTTATAAAGGAGCTTAACTCACTCATTAGAACAAAAATATTTTCAAATTGTATCGCAAAGCAAACTCATGCTGTATATAAGATACATATCTAAAACAAAGTTATTCAGAACACTAAAAATGAAGAGACATATCAGTTAATTGGGAAAGAGAAAGAAAGCAAGAGTTATAATCCTGACATCAAATAAGGTAGAATTGTGGTCATGACAAAGAACAATACTTTATAAAGCTAAAGGACACAATTCACATCAAAGACACAATAAATGTGAACATTTCACATACCTTCATATAGTACAGGGGTTGGCAAACTTTCTTTAAGAGCAAGACAGTAAATATTTCAGGCTTGCAGGCCATACCCTCTCTGTTGCAACTACTTAACTCAGCCTTTGTAGCAGGAACACAGCCACAAACATTATGTAAATAAATGTGCATTGCTGTATCCCAATAAATCTTTATGTACAAGAATAAGCAATGGATCTACAGGCTGTAGTTTGTCAACCCTTGATATAATGGAAAGGATGGAAACTGCAAGGAAAAACAGAAACACCAATAATAAGAGATGTTAGCATACCACTTTTTTAATATTTTATTTTTTTAATTAATTAATTTATTTATTCATGAGAGACAGAGAGAGAGAGAGGCAGAGGGAGAAGCAGGCTCCCAAGGAGCAGGGAACCTGATGTGGAACTCGATCCCAGGACTCTGGGATCATGACCTGAGCTGAAGGCAGACGCTTAACCTTCTGAGCCACCCAGGAGCCCAAGATTTTATTTTTTTAAGTAATCTCTACACCCCATTGGGCTCCAACTTACAACCCCAAGATGAAGAGTCACATACCATACCACTTTCAGTGAAGATGGTGAAATGGGAGGAAGTAAATATACAGAGGATCTGGGTATTAAAGAGGGCACGTACTGAATGGAGCACTGGGTGTTATAAGCAAACAATGAATCATGGAACACTACATCAAAAACTAATGTTGTAATGTATGGTGATGAACATAACATAAAAACAGAGTTTAAAAAAAAGAACACAACGAGAAAGGATATGCTTTTTTCTCATGTTCAAGTGGAACCTTCACAACAATTGACCAACAATTATACTACACAGAAAGCCTCCACAAAATTGAAAGAATATAAACAACATTCTGTGATAATAAAGCAATAAAACTAGAAATTGGTAATAAAATAAAAAAACAAAAAATTCCAGTAAGGATTCTCTATTAAACAACTATTGAGTGAAAGAAGAAATACAAATCAATTTCAGAAATTCTAAAAATAAATCGTGGAAACACTATGTGTCAGAATTTTTAGATACAATTAAAGCAATGATCACAGAAAAATTCAGTTTTATACCCTTCAATTAATAAAAATAAGTGAGTTAAATTCCTGCTAGGAAGCTAGGAAAAGAGCAACAAAACAAACAAGCATAAAGAAAAAAATAATAAAGGAAGAAAGTCCAGAAGCATAAAACAGAAAAAGGATAGAACTAATAAATTAAAATTTTGCTTTTTAAAAAAATTTTTTATTTTTGTACAACTCCAGTATAATTAACATACAATGTTATATTAGTTTCAGGTGTACAATATTGTGATTCAACACTACTTTACTCGGTGCTCATTGTGATATGCGTTCTCTTAATCCCCATCAGCTATTTCACCCATCCTCCCAGCAAACTCCCCTAAAATTTTGCTTTTGTTGAGGAAAACCAACAAAGCAACCATTTATTAATCTATCGAGACAACACAGATATGTAAAATAAGAACTGACAAAGATGCAGGGAATATGATTGGTATTTAATTACCTTGCACAACTCAATGAAAAGTAAATTCGAAAACTGGATATAATGGAGGATTTCCTAGGAAGATGCATGTTAGCAAAATTGACTTCAGTAGAGATATAAAACTTAAACAGAACAATTACCAAGAAAGAAATGAGGAAAGAGAAAAAAGAAAATATTAAGCCCAGATGGTTTCACAGGGGAATTCTACCAGATATCTTAATAGACTAGATAATTCCAGTGCTATGTAGCTTGTTCTCCAGAGCGTAGGAGAAACAAATGAAAATTCCAAGTTCTTTTAATAATGCAAGTACAATATTAATATCTAAACCTGAAGAAGACAAACACACAACTACAGACCAATATCTTTTAATGAATATGCTGCAAAAATCCTCAATAAAATACTAGCAAACAGAATCCAACATCCTATTAAGAAAATATTACATAGCATAGACTAGGATTGTTCATTATAAAAGGAAATCCATTAATATAATTCACATATATTAACAGACCTGAAGAAAAATCATATAATTACTTCTGTAAATGCTAAAAAGGCCTTTAATAAAATTCAACATCTATTCCTGATTTTTAAAAACCACACTGAATAAAATTAAAACAGGAAGGAAGAAAGGAAGGGAAGAAGGAAAGAAAGAGAGAGTAAACAGAAGAGTCATGGAAAGACAGAGGTGCCTGAGACTCTTAAAAGGGAGTAAAAATGCTTAGAATTTACGAGCAATTTAGCAGTCCCTCCTGGAAGGAAAAGCCAGAGCCATCCTCAACAGTAGTGGTTCCCTGGGAACATGGCCTTGATAAGAGCAAATGAAGAGATGTGAACAGTGGTTGCTTCTTCCATATATAGGCAATTTCAGTAAATACGATTTTGTTAAATCCAATCTGTGATGGCTTTTGTTCTTCCTACTTGAGCTTTTGGAAGTCACTGCTCTGCCAAAAGTAAAAAAATCTTTAAGGAAGAGAATATTAAGAAATGTTCAAGAGAAAAAAATAAACTGTTAAGCAAAGCAGAGTGGAGCCCCATGTTACATAGGGAGTAAATTTCTATAAAACACCAAGTAACTCAAAACTATGTAACTTATGTCATAGCGTATAGAAAAATGGGGGATAGAAGTATAGGCCTAATGTTTGAAAATCTTATTTTATAAAATGTATATTTGAACTAAAACTAGCCTTATTGAAAATATTATTCCAAAAAATAGAAGATCAGGACCTGATGCCAATTGCCAATTTGATCTTTCTTTTTCTTTCTTTCTTTCTTTCTTTCTTTCTTTCTTTCTTTCTTTCTTTCTTTCTTTCTTCTTTCTAGGATTTATTTATTTATCTTAGAAAGAGAGAGAGAGAGCATGAGTGGGAGGGACAGAGGGAGAGAGAATCTCAAGCAGACTCCACGCTGAGCAAGGAGCCCAATGCAGGGCTCGACACCGAGCTTGATCTCACGACCCTGAGATCATGACCTGAGCCGAAACCAAGAGCTGGAGGCTTAACCGACTGAGTCACCCGGGCGCCCCTTGATCTACTTTCAAGTCTCTTCTGGAAATCAGATTAGAATCAGCTCCTCCCTTCAGAACAAGGTCTAGGAGGGAGGAGACCCACAGGCCCACCCAGAAATTCCACTACCTGGAGAGAGAAAGCGGTAATAGTGTGCAGCTGGTGTTGAGGGACACCAGGTGAGCACCTATGGACAAAAATGGGGTAACATAAGGAGGAAGGGAAGTGGGCCAGAAAGCAATGTGGGAGAGGGTCACGGGTTCCATCTAGCTTGTGATTATACTGAGAAGTGAAGAATGTTAGTGACAATCACATCCACTGTGACTCATGGCCACCAGCCACCCATGTCCAGCGAAGTAGCCGTGAAGGGCACTTTGAGGGTCAAACCACTCATCTCACTGTAGGAAGCATAGATAGAGCAATTCCTGAAACTGAGAATCAGCTCAAATGCCCATGAGTCTTTGCTCAACATATTATGAGCACAAGTAAATTAAAACAAAACAAAATAAAAAATATCTTGACTGCAGTATTAGCTAAAAATTATGGGAATTCTACATTATTCCCAAATTACTGTAAAGTGTAGGAGAATTGCCACAGCATCTACTTCTTTCCTTGGTTTCTGGTTCTTCATTACGCAGGACTTACATTCTCTTCGCCCTCCCTGCGTTGATGCCTTTCCTCATCATTTTAACAAAGTCGGTCTCACTGTATGAAATTTATTTTCCTGCTGTCCAGACTAAACAACTCCAAAGTCTGCCTAAGGATCCACTATTCACAAACATCCTCAGAAATGAGCTGCTTGAGTGTACGCAAAGACAAAGGTGTCTAATTAAAAACAGAAGCACAGATTTAAAATACTCTCCTTATGGAGTGAAAACAGTTTCCTATTCCGTTACTTCCCCAAATTGTTAAAATGCTCTTTGTTCTCAGGCTTCCTGGGAAATGCACAAATCCTCCAGCTGTGGTCGGAGGTCCACGGACACTGGTGTTTGATGTGCAGCGTCAATCTCCTGCACTGTCCCAGAGGGAGAGCCGTGTTGACCCCACCAGCCCACTGAGGAAGACTTGCAT